GAGGTAGAAATGTAATAAATACATAAATAGTAGTCAAGGAAGGCCTCAGGTACAGCTCCTAGGCATGAGACTAGGGATGTAGCAAATGCACCTTTGTTTTCATCTGTGGAGCTATGGAGAGTAGGGAGGTATATCAAGTTATGTGATAACAACAGAGAAGATCTGACCCATCTTGTTTGCTGAATACCCTTGAACAAAACATGCTGGCTTTGTATGATTGAAACACCTTTTTAATATTCTACCCCACCACAAACAGAGAGAAAAAGACGTTCTATATACTTTGTGAAATTCCTCCAAAAGTCACTGTTGTTGCCGTTGCTTGAGATTTAAATATATGACCTGTAAGGAGAAGGAAATTTATTTGAAAAAAAGCATATGGCAGATCTGACAAGGTGTTTGTGATAGAGGGGACTATGATAAATGAGGTGCATTTTGCAGCGTGAAAAATTTCTTTAGCAATGTATTGTGAAAGTGGATCTTTAAATGCTACATGGCTTAGAAACTTCACATTGGTTTTATTCAAGACTCCTTCAACACTGCTCATAGAGTTGGCTTAAGAGCCACTGAGATCTCATGGCACATCAGAACATGAGCTGATGCCTCGTACCAACAGAACATTTCTCCATCTAGCTCATGGGTAGGCAAACTAAGGCCTGGGGGCCGGATCTGGCCTAATCACCTTCTAAATCCGGCCCGCAGATGGTCCGGGAATCAGCGTGTTTTTACATGAGTAGAATGTGTCCTTTTAAAATGCATCTCTGGGTTATTTGAGGGGCATAGAATTTCATTCATTTATTTATTTTCCAAAATATAGTCCAGCCCCCCACAAAGTCCAAGGGACAGTGGATCGGCCCTCTGCTGAAAAAGTTTACTGACCCCTGGACTAGCTCAACTTTACCCTATGCCTCTCTGCAAGCTCTGTGGCTGCCCTCAGGTTTGGTGGAGAAGACTTTCACACGGGTGGGTGTGTCCGTCAGTTCTAGTTTCTAATTATTCCAAAGTAAAGTCCTCCACGTCAGTTTAAAAAATAATATTATTATAGAGTCCTCATGAAAGCCCAGCAGTATTTCAATGTGCATTTCTCCTAATACACATCTTTTTGTATGGGATTTTGCCTAACAGACATGCTTTTGCAAGCATCTCCCCATACGCCATGCATTTGGGTATGTTGTAAGAACATAGGAAAGTAACAAGAACCTTCTGAATCAGGTTAGTGTCCCATCTAGTCAAACATCATGTTAAAACAGTGGCCAACCCGAGGAGGGGTGACCATGGGGAGGAGCACAGAGCAGAGAAATGCCATGGAGCATCTGCAGCAGCACAACCGGACGTCTTCATGTGCCCCAACAAAGCATGGCTCTCCTGTAACCTTCCAACAGTTTGACTTCACCTTTGAAGGTGCACTCCTCCGTTGTCTCCCAAGGCAGAGGGATGCCAACCAACCAGATCCCTGTGGGATGCCTGCAAGCACAACAGCACTTTTGCTTCTGGCGGTTTCCCTATCCTTCTCATCCCTGTCTTCAGCATCTCCTGCACATGCTAAACTGAACATAACAAAAAGCCAGGTGTTGTGGGGAGTGGGGGTTAAGGGAAAGGGAAACTGAGAATGCTCATTGGCTACAGAATGCTGGCTGGCAGTTGAGGGATGAGAGTGGAAAATTTGGGGGGGGGGGGTGGAACGAAATGGAATGGGTGGAATTCTGAAAAGAAGTCGGCTGCACTGCAACTTGTAAATAGCAATCCTGTTTCCCCCAAGAAATAGTTTATGAATACTTCCCACCAATGTGCTGTAAACCGAAGCCTATCCATCATGCTGTGAAGTCTTAAGAGAAAGGGGACAGAAAAAATGTTTGTACATCTAAGCCAAGCTACCAACAGCACCCAGTCCCACCAGCACCATCAAATCATCAGCATTTTAGATTCGTCATGCTTTCCTAAATGCCAGCATTTTTCTGGATCCATTCCCATTATCATGCAGGGACACGCAACCAAAATCGGTGTAATCTCCAACACAGCATATTGTCTCCCAAACATCCTTCCTTTACCATGCCAAGGGGTTGCAATGAAGGGTTTAAAAAAAACAAAAAACTGCCCAGATGCCAAAACGAAGAGGAGGAGACTGAGTCAGCATCTGTAGCTTTTTGAGCTCTGAATACATAGATGCATTCGTGCTTACAGCTGTCTTCAAGTGATGTTCGGGCAGAGGTTGGCAGATATTTCTTTAAAACTCTTAAGAATGGTTTAAATACATCCCTGCAGAAGCAAGTGATAAATCTTTGTTCAGAATGCACTGCTTAAGGCTGCCTAGGGTGCTGCCAGAGGGAGTGGGACTGAATGTCTAAATCCAGCATCTAGACATAAGCAGTTCCAGAGGAGAAGAAGCTGAGGAGGACTTTCTTCACCTGCCCACTCCCACTGGTGGACTCCTGTGGACGAAGGAAAGGCATTTTTCACCATTGAGTTTTAGCTGAACCATAAACTACAAATTTATGTAGGGACGCGGGTGGTGCTGTGATCTAAACCACTGAGCCTAGGGCTTGCCAATCAGAAGGTCAGCGGTTCGAATCCCCGTGACGGGGTGAGCTCCCAATGCTCGGTCCCTGCTCCTGCCAACCTAGCAGTTCAAAAGCACGTCAAAGTAGATAAATAGGTACCGCTCCGGCGGGAAAGTAAACGGCATTTCCGTGCGCTGCTCTGGTTTCGCCAAAAGTGGCTTAGTCGTGCTGGCCACATGACCTGGAAAAACTGTCTGCGGACAAACGTCGGCTCACTCGGCCAGTAAAGCAAGATGAGTGCCACAACCACAGAGTCATTTGCAACTGGACTTAACTGTCAGGGGTCCTTTACCTTTACCTTAAAACTACAAATTAATTTAAGGAGGATAAGACAACCCTTCCAAATAACCTGTTTATGGAGCATTCACCCTGATTTCTTTGCCCAAAGTTTGCAGTGAGTTTAGACAATGTTGGCCATTTCTTAATAATTAATTCTTATTTGTTTGCAGAGAGGTTAGATGATGTTGTGTCAATTGATGGTTTTCCCACATTTTCCAGTGGATTTCCCCGCAAGTTTACTTATTGGAAATAATCTAATTTTGTGGGGAGGAGGAAAGCATGTTCATTGCTCTCAGGTGGCTAGGAAGGCCTTTCTGATTCAATCAGTGGTGGCTGATGCCCATTGGACTGGTGGGGCGAGATGCCAACAGGAGGGGGAGCCAGAGCCAATCACAGGCGGAGCCAACAAACTCCAGGTTTCTTCCCTCCTCCTCGTTGCAGAGTCCCACAAGGGCAGCACTGAGGATGAAGCTGACAGCCAGGCGTGCCCTTGAACCGCTTGTAAGAAAGAACGTGGAAAAGTGAGGGCTAGCTGAAGGCAGACTGACCTTGGTGGGGCAGTGACACATTTGCCCCAAAGGACCAGCCTCCACTGGGGGGGTGAGAGAGGTGCCCACTGAAGTCACCTTGCCGATCCCTGGAGCTGCCAGCCCCTGCCCAGTGCAAAAGTGACAAGGTTGTGCTTTTTGTTGACTTAAAAAGATCTCAGGAAGGAGAAGGAGAAGAAGAGTTTGGATTTGATATCCCGCTTTATCATTACCCTAAGGAGTCTCAAAGTGGCTAACAATCTCCTTTCCCTTCCTCCCTCACAACAAACACTCTGTGAGTGGGGCTGAGAGACTTCAAAGAAGTGTGACTAGCCCAAGGTCACCCAGCAGCTGCATGCGGAGGAGCAGGGAATCGAACCCGGTTCACCAGATTACGAGTCCACCACTCTTAACCACTACACCACACTGGCTGTAAGATAAACTTGCAGGTGCTGGGCCTCCCTATCAGCCTTCCACGATATAAATGCAGATTCGGAAAAAAAGAAAGAAAAAAGCAGGACAGAGAAATTTTCTACATCAGAATATTGAAGTGACAGGCTCTCCGCCCCCCCCCCAAAAGTCCTCCAGTGCAGAGGGCTGCCAGCCACCCCCGCTGGTCAGCTCCAAGGACTTGCTTGGCTTTGCTCACTGCATCAGCTGTCACAGCAAATTTTTCACAGCGAACTTGCTCTTTGGGCAGTCCATTAATTTTGTTTTCTCGCTCTCTTTTTCCAGCTCGGACAAATGCGACGCAACACATCATTTCCCCGAACTCCCAAGCACAGATTTCTCTGTCCCCGCTTGAAATGTATCTCACATGCACCTCCCTCAAGGACCAGCCTATCGGACTACTAAATCTTGTAGAACAGCTTCTCTCGCCCCCCCCCTTTCCTTGCTGCAATATTGTTGTTGCAGATCTATGCTCCGAGAGCTGCCACCGCACTCTCCCTAGTGGGCAGCAATGAATAATGTATTCATTACTATTCAATACAAACTCAAAGCAACAGAGGAAGCAAGAGGGAGACCCCACGGGTCACGAAGAAATCATTTGCTTCACTGCCGCTAACCCTCAGGCCCTTTATTACATTTGAAAGCACAGTATTTCCCCCCTCTGAGCGTTAATTCCCTTTGCTCCTGCACAGCTTGCTTGCTTGCTTGGGTTGGTGCGTGTGTTTTTTTAACATTAAAATTGCCTGCACAATAGGCTAGGGAGCCAGTATGAATGGGGACAAGTCTTGTAATAGTGAGGGCGGGGGAGGGCATTGAATGGCAGAGGGTGAAAGGGAAATGCTGAAATGTAATTCATGGCAGCTGAGGATTTCAAGAAGGAAGGAGCTTCTGGTTTGAAGCAGGGTGTCCACTTAGGCGCGAAGAAGAAGATGAAGATCTGCATAGCATCTGCATATGTTAATTTATGTGCATAAGTCAGCAGTGAGGAACCTCTGGCCCATGGGCCAGATGTGGCCAACCATGCCTCTGCATCCATCTCTCAGACTTCTAGCTGTGACAATGCCTCTTGCTTGCATAGGAACACAGGAAGTTGCCTCATACTGAGTCAGACCATTGATCCATCTAGCTCAATCTTCACCAGCAGCAGCTCTGCAGGACTGCAGACAGGGTTTCCTCTCCCAGTCCCTCCTGGAGATGCCAGGGGTTGAATTTGGGACCTTCTGCATGCAGAGCAGATGCTCAGCCATGGAGCTATGGCCCTTCCCACAACTCTGTTGCCTAGATAGTGCTGGAGTGCCTCTGGCTTCTGTGTGGCTGGAATATTGTCTACTGTGCAAATATGAGAGTCACAGCCATTGTCCCACCCACTTTTCCTTCTTGGGCTTGCAGATCAGAAGGTCGGTGGTTCAAATCCCCACGACGGGGTGAGCTCCCGTTGCCCTGGCCCTGTTCCTGCCAACCTAGCAATTCAACAGTGGCGTAGCGTGGGGGGTGCAGGGGGGCCGGCCGCACCGGGCGCAACATCTGGGGGGGCGCTCGCACTCGCAGCTCTCTGCCCCTACCTGGCTCACTCACTCTCTCTCACTGCAGTGCTGGCTGTGCGAATCCGATCCGAGCCGCTGGGTCGCCGCCCACTGTGGAGGGGGGGGGTGCCAGGCGTGCGGTGCGGAGAGAGAGCGAGGGACTATCTGGGGGAGGGACAGTGCAGCGGCCGCCCAGTGCAGCGCTGAGCGCGGGAGAGAACCACACCAGACCAGCCCAGGCAGCAGCAAGAAGAAGCTGGCAGCGGCGGCAGGTTAGGGGTTAGGGGGCGCAAATTACTTGCCTTGCCCTGGGTTAGGGGGCGCAAATTACTTGCCTTGCCCCGGGTGCTGACAACCCACGCTACGCCGCTGCAATTCAAAAGCACACCAGTGCAAGTAGATAAATAGGTGCTGCTGCAGCGGGAAGGTAAATGGCGTTCCCATGTGCTCTGATTTCCATCATGGTGTTCCACTGCGTCAGAAGTGGTTTAGTCATGCTGGCCACGTGACCTGGAAAGCTGTCTGTGAACAAACGCCAGCTCCCTCAGCCTGAAAGCGAGATGAGAGCCACAACCCCATAGTCACCTTTGACTGGACTTAACTGTCTGGGGGTCCTTTACCTTTACCTACAGCCTGAGACTGTTAATCTCAGGGCTGAGGGTTTGAGCCCTATGTTGGGCAAAAGATTCCTGCATTGCTGGGGGTTGGACTAGATGACACTGATGATCCCTTCCAACTCAACAATTCTATGATTCTGTGGTTCTATGATGTCCAGGTAGGTCTGAAAAGGACCCTTGCCTGAAACACAGCAAAGCAGTTGCCACTCATTGTAGACAACAGCTTCCTGCGTTTCTATGTGTGTTCATGAAAAGGGCCCAAATTCTAGAATTACAAGTGTGGGAGAAAAATGCCTCCCTATCTGCATTCTCCACACCATTTCCAGAGAACAAGGTCCAATGCCAGCAAACTTTCTGCGCTTAGTAATGTTGGGTTTGTGAACTCAGCTCCTCCAAGGTTTCCCTGTAAAAATCAAAAATGCTTCGTCAGGACTAGAGTGCCAAATGTCACACAATCAGGAAGTCAGAAACCAACGGTGGGTGGAGGGTGAAGGGGGAAATAAACTATTTAAAAATCCTGGAATTGTTGCTATCATGTAACTCTTCCCGTAGATTTAAATCACCCCAGCAGGGACCGCTTATGCTTTCTCCTTAATGAAATAGCTGCCATCTATTATGCCAAGGAACGAATTTGTCAATGCAACTTACCAAATTACAAGCCCATAATTCTAGAAACATTAAGCACCTAACAGAAGATGCAATAATTTAGCAGGGAAACTCTGGCTCAGAAGAAGTCAGTCGGAGCTTTGCCAGGAATTTCAATGGAGCAGTCCCTCTCTCTCTCTCTCTCTCTCTCTCTCTTTTTTAACTGTCTTGATTGCTCAAGCTCCTATTGCCAAGTGCAGGCATGCCAGCTCTTTAAATTTAGTACAATTCTCATCTTTGTCAAGGCGTTCCTTAAAGCCCTAGCTCCTGAAATCATAAAAGTTCATCTCGCCTAACTGCCCTGTTCAAGGCTGAATACATCAGCGCTCAGGGTTGGTTGGAGTCACCAAGAAAGAAAAACAAAATTAGAGGTAAGAAGTGGAAACTGCAGCAAACTATTGCAGAATGGAGTGCTCCTGTTCAGGATACTCCATTCCATTATACACACACACACATCAGCATTCCGTGAATGCTGAGCCTGAACCATCTTCATCAGCCTGTTTTGAGGGAGGTTACTACAGATTTATTTTGTACCTCTGCAAACCTTGAGGTTTCCCCAGGTCTGCCAGTATGTCTTTCTTGGGCATGACTGGTGCAGTCTTGGCTACATCAGCAACAGCACTCACACCCAGAACATCGGATCGAAGTTCCTCTGAAGCATAAACTTTGTTACAGAGTGGCAAAAGATCCCTGGATGCATTCCAAACTTACCGCTGTAGAGTTTTGTTTCCCCCACTGCAAGGTGAACTGGACTGGCTGTAAATAAGAAGGGAGGCAAGGGAGGGGAGGCTGAGGGCAGACAGGGGTTGGAGGGGCAGTTGCCCATTTGCCCTGACGGACCAGCCTCCTCTGCCACATCCTGAATACACAGGTAGATTAAGCTAAGGAGCTGAATCATTCGTGCTGCCACAAAGAAAAAGTGCCTAATTCTTTCATGTCAAACACAGTTTTAAAGGCACATGAGTAGATCTGGAGGGCAGAGAGAGAGGGGAAACCATATTTCTATACGGTATATATATATATAGTTTGGATTGTGTGACCCACTGGATACAATCCAATTATATGAGATGGAGATAGACAGAAGAAGAGAAAGATGGAGATTCCAATAGGGCACAGCCTTATTATAGATCTCCCTGTTGCTACATCAGAGCCCAAGCCACGGTCCTTCGGTCAAACACATCGCCTCTTTCGAAGATGGCAGGAAGCTATTAAAGTTTAAAATGCAATCAAGTGCATAGTGGAGAGGTCATTTTTCCCTTCCCCAACTATGTGGGAGCTCGAAGGCAGGGGGGAAGAAACTCTTCCGCAGACTGGGGCAAGATGACAAGAGGAGAAAATATCCAGCTAACCAAAGGAAAGGTAACCCAGCAAGAAGCAGTTGGGTTTGGTCCAAATGTCCCTATTTCTCCAGGATGCAGTCAATTCACCAGTCTCTGGATTGATTAAGTCGCTTTTTTAAACCATTTTTGCCTTTTGGGAATGCCTTGTTAAACTGGTCCTAGCTGGAACAGGAATCTCCAGCCTTTCAGGGTCTTAAATATACCACTAATGGGATTAAAGAAAAAAAAGGTAAAGGAACCCTGTCAGTTAAGTCCAGTCGCAGACGACTCTGGGGTTGCAGCGCTCATCTCGCTTTACAGGCCAAGGGAGCCAGCGTTTGTCCGCAGACAGTTTTTCTGGGTCATGTGGCCAGCATAAGCCGCTTCTTGCAAAACCAGAGCAGCACACGGAAATGCTATTTACCTTCCCACCGGAGCGGTATCTATTTATCCTCTTGCACTTTGACATGCTTTTGAACTGCTAGGTTGGCAGGAGCAGGGACAGAGCAACTGAAGCTCACCCCGTCGTGGGGATTCGAACCGCAAGAGGCTCAGTGGTTTAGTTAGTGGTATCACTAACAGGATTCCTGGATTTAAATTGCTATTCAGCAATGAAGCTCATAGAGGGTACTTGAGCAGGTGACATCCTCTCCCCCCCCCCTTTCTCCCCAAGCTCCTTCACATGGCTGTTGTGGGAACAAAATGAATAGTGGAGAATAACCATGTACATCCCCTGCCCCCAAGTTCCATGAAGGATAGGCTGGGTATTTTGTAATTTATATATATATCAGTTAGAGTTGGGATGAAAATGAATGAATAAAAAGAGGAAGGGGGGGACACACTGCAAGAAAGAAAATGTTGTTTGAACGGTGTTCTTTCAGCCACTGATTGAATCACTGCAAACTTGGGCACCGTTCTTATTTTTCCTGAACTGCAGCCTGTCCGGCTCAGAAGTAAGGTAAACGCAGGATATTGTCGAAAGTTAAAGCTGTTTGTAGGAACAGTGTTTGTCTTGGCACCTTTGAGCCATGCTAGATCAAGTTTGTCTGGCTGCAAGAAAGAAGTCTGGGAGAGGGAGAGGGAGGGAGAGAGAGAGAGAGAGAGAGAGAGAGAGAGAGAGAGAAGTGCAATTTGACATAGTGAGTCTCTTTACTGGAATTGTATTTGTCCTGTCCAAAAACTCTGGCAACCTGCCCTCCTTGAAAAGATGTCTCATAAACTAAAAGTACTTAAAGGGCAGAGCTCAAATGACTGTGCGGCATGATTTTATTTCTTATACAGTGGTTCCTCAGGTTAAGAACTTAATTTGTTCCGGAGGTCCGTTCTTAACCTGAAACTGTTCTTAACCTGAAGCACCACTTTAGCTAATGCGGCCTCCCGCCACTGCGCGATTTCTGTTCTCATCCTGAAGCAAAGTTCTTAACCCGAGGTACTCTTTCTGGGTTAGCAGAGTCTGTAACCTGAAGCGTCTGTAACTTGAAGCATCTGTAACCCAAGGTGCCACTGTCCCAGTGGTTTTCAACCTTTTTGAGTCCATGGCTCCCTTGACCAACCACATTTTTTCCACAGGTCCCCTGTGGAAGCCACTTACACTGGGGTTTCTATTACAGGCACTGGCGGACAAAGGTGGGGGCAGGGGGCGGTCCATCCTGGGTGCCATCCGGGGGTGACATCAGGGCCTCTGGGACGCTCGGTACTCGCCACACATCCCTGGGACTCTTGGCGCTTACCACACATGCCTGGGACGCTCACCACTCACTGTGCACACCCCAGGACCTGCGCCACTTGCCACACGCCCCCTGACACACACCACACCACCTGGGACATGTGCCACGCCCCCGGATGTAGGTCACACCCAGTGCCAGAGCAGGTAGCTTCGACGCTGATTACAGGATCTGTGTAAGTATGGATTTGCCCCTGCCCCATTCTGCCCCACCTGTATCTGGTGCCATTTTTGTCATGCGTGTAAGTTAGGGTTACAAGACATCCCCAGATCCTGGGGACAGTCCCCGGATTTGCAAATCTGTCCCCAGGAAACATGGCAGCGGCAGCCTTAGCAGCCCAGAGCCAGCCTGGTAGCGCAGTTGGCTCTGGCTGGCTTCAGGAGCTGCTCGCTGCCGTGGCACCCACCATTTTTCCTGCGCCACGGCAGCGAG